TGCATGCATCTCTTCATGCCATTCACCTAAACCCAACATGGAGCCTACACAGCATTTAGTGACCTGCTCCCCTCCATCATGTGACAGTATCCGGGCCGGGCTATTGGCTGCTCGGTTCCTGAGCACTGCATCCAGAAAGGACGGGGAGAAGGTCACGTGATCTGCCTTACCCGGAAGTACTAGACATTTCTGAGGGATCTGGAATAATGGAATGTTGTGGGGCACAAGAGGGCGAGGGGTGGGGCACAAGAGGGCAAGGGGCACAAGAGGGCAAAGGGCACAGGGCACAAGAGGGCAAGGGGGGGGGCACAAGAGGGCAAAGGGCACAAGAGGGCAAAGGGCACAAGAGGGCAAAGGGCACAAGAGGGCAAAGGGCACAAGAGGGCAAAGGGCACAAGAGGGCAAGGGGCACAAGAGGGCAAGGGGCACAAGAGGGCAAGGGGCACAAGAGGGCAAGGGGCGGGGCACAAGAGGGCAAGGGGCGGGGCACAAGAGGGCAAGGGGTGGGGCACAAGAGGGCAAGGGGTGAAGAGAACCGTCACTGTGACCTACATGACAGTTGCTCTACGTCCCCCCACACACTTGTAGGAAGACCTCTCCCGTGTAAAAGCTGATCACTTCCCTGCAAACCTGCACCTCCCCCACATAACTATTTGAAGCTGTGCCGGCTATCTTGAGCCCGCTTCCATTTCCTGTCTCAACAACAATCATCACCAATCCCCTCTGCTCCTGATCCCTACTATCGTTGGCCCACCATTCAAAGCCATTAGCTTTCCCATCAATCACTTTTACTCTTCATCACGTTTGGGAGCAATTTTTAGGGTCGGTGTCCCTTAGGAATGCACAGATACCGATACTAGTATTGGTATCGGTGCCGATACCGAGTATTTGGGCGAGTACTCATGCTCACCCAAATGCTCCGATGCCTAGCCCGATACTTCCTGTATCAGGAAGGCGGGCAGCGCGTCATTACACGTTGCCCGGCTTACTGATTGGCCGGGAAGCCGGCTCCATGCTCTATCATCACTTGTGACGAGAGAGCATGGAGCCGGCTTCCCGGCCAATCAGGAAGCCGGTTGCCATGTAATGACGATTGGCCGGGAAGCCGGCTTCATGCGCCTTCGTCACCTCATGACGACGGGGCGTGGAGCTGGCTTCTCGGCCAATCAGGAAGCCGGGCGCCGCGTCATTACATGGCAACCGGTTTTCCGATTGGCCAGAAAGCCGGCTCCATGCTTTCTCGTCACCTAGTGATGGGAAGCATGGGGACGGCTTCCCTGCTAAACGGGAAGCCGGGTGGAGAGTCTTACCAAACCGCCTGGCTTCCCAAATGGGACTTTCAGTATCGGTGAGTACCGAAAAAAAATATCAGTACTCGTACTCAATACCGAAATCGGTGCATCCCTGGTGTCAGTCACTGTACTGCTATTCCCAAGCATTATATAAGAAAACACCTCCCAGACTGGCATACTCAGGCCTTAGCTGTGCCAACTGCTGATCAGTTGCCTCATGATTAGAGTGTAATCAGGGCAACTGGTCAGCATATTGCACAGCTAAGTCTCCAGCAGCTACTGGTTCGGAAGGGACGCATGTCTAAAGGGATGCAGGGGATGCGTTCTTTCCTATAACGCTTGGGCTCTCAGATGCAGATCTGAGGCAGGGTGCTGTGATATTTACAGGAGCCTACCAGCCCCTCCCAGCAAACTTGACCTCGCTACGAATGAATGAGCGGCAGAACGACCGCGTGATGATATCACAGAGTCATAAAAGAGGCATTTCCTGAAACATTTTTTTTTAAGGTTTGTTGATAGGGGAACAGACAATATGGGGGTGGAAGGGGGGCGGGACAAGGGAAGGTGTCAGAGCCAACACAGGAGTCAGCAGGCACTTGGAGGATGTTCAGTCTAAACAAAGACTCATTTAGTATAAAACGCGTATAACAAGCAGAACGAGTGTCGTTTTTGATGACGGAGGTGATAACACATCTCTATATATAACCTGATAATGATGTCCTGGTTTCTAGGAGGGCTGGTGATGTATAAAGTCAGCTGACATACACCAAACACCCAAAATGATCCGTGTCACCATGAGCCGTGCTCTAAAGAGACCCTGTCACCTGACCACTCAATGCAACAGCAACCTCCCCATAAGGAGACGCTGGTCTGCCCCGCCCACTATGACACAACACCCTGATTGACAGTCCGGGGAGACTCATGGTCGGTCTCGGCCATTCACTCCACACAGAAGGCTATGACTGGCACACACGGGATCGGCCACCGACCTCACCACATTCACACCCGCTGCCAGCTGCAAATCCCACTGCACGATGGGGATTGTAGTTTATTTCACTGGCACTGAACAGTGAAAGGAAATTATGTCAGCGCTTCATTAATACCCCCCCAGGGTGCCGGGCATAGTTCCTGAAAAGTGATGATGTCACGGACATCAAAAACAAGTTATGTT